CTTCATCAAAGCTAAGGAGATGACCAAGAAGAGGAGAGTTTCAGCATAAATTAAGTCAAGCCACAAATCTCTTATCTTTCCATAAGAGCTCATTGAAGTAACTTGCTACCTTCACTTATCAATTTCAGTTATGAATGCAACATTTGCTAAAATCCATTTTGATCCCCTCCCTTCGGAATTTCTGGAGGGCCAGTATAACAGTGTGCCAAGCCCTCAAGGTACTCTTCCCAGGTGAAATCAGCTGAAGAGGTTATATACAAATTTGAATAAGACTATTTTAACCCTTACCAAAATGCCAGGACAAATTTTGTATGTCTTGCCTGCTGTATGATAAAAACCTAAAAATGAAATTGCATAGCTTCAGGAAAAAATTCTACTACAACAATGTAGGATAATATTCTTTAAAAGAGCATGATCAATTATTTGAGGCATATTGTACAGTGAAGCCAATCAACTGTTGTATTTTATCAAAGCAATTTAAGTCCAGTATCCCATTTAAAAAAAAAAGTTGGTTTTCTTTACATAAAAAAATGATTGCATGGGATGCTTAGTCTAGTAGGCATCAACAGAGGTATTCCCTTTGAGCCCCAGCTCATATTTTTACACATAGGTAAGTGATTAACAGGAGTAATTTTGTACTTTTGAAGACTGGCAGCTGCAGGGCACTTCATCTCCTGCTCTTGATTCTTACCTTGTTCTTTTCTTAATTGGTTTGTCATGATACGGTTAAAACGTAGCTCACTTTTTTTTTAAAAAGCTCAGTTTTCAGAAACACATGCGCCCAATTTGCATCACATAAAACCTCTGGACAGATCCCTTTTCCCTAGATGCTGATTTTCTTTCTCCTGAAGTACTGCCTGCACAGGAGCAGGATTTTGTTACTTCCTTGCAGGCTGATCTGTTTGAATTCACTTACTGGTTTGAATTCACTTACTGGTTCCTTATTACAAGGGTGAAATTAACAGATGACAGAAAGAAAGCCAAGTCGGTCTATTTCGAATGTGGAGCCGTATTCATAAGAATACATGCATTAAATCTTTTCCAGATGCTCAACTGGATCTGCCTATATTGTCATTTCTTTTCTAAATCTCACCATTTTCCCTATTTTGCCATTGTATTTCAATGAAGTGAATGAATCTCCACTAAGTTCTATGCAACCTTCAAAGAAACCCTTTGCAATTTTTGAACAAATTAATAAGTAAACACGTTTGCTTAAATGTGATAAGTAAGCTTTCACAACAGAGAATATGCAGGAAAAATAATTATACGAATCTATTTTTGTAGGGTAAAAACTAAAATTTTGAGAATATTTATGTTCTGTTGTCCCTTGCCTTTCTGCTCTGTCTGAACAATACAGCTAAATAGAATGTAAATAAAAAATAATAATTTTAGATCAACTGAAATATTAATTAAGAATTAAAATCTATTTGAAGAGAAGAATGCAAAAATTATTATTTTTTTCAAATCCACTAATTAATGGAAGCCTTTTATGGCAATATTGTTATAGTTTGTTAGTTTAGCTGCTGATATATAAGGAGATATAATTTTGCAACTGTCAAGATCTTTTGTTCATATTTGAAAAACAAATAGCTAAAAATTGTTTTCTCAATTTTTTAAGCCACCCATTTCCTGTGAAGTTGTTCAATCTTTGTAAAGAAAGAAGCAAGAAATCTAAAGATATCCAGAAACTCCGTTCCAGCATTGCTGTGTAAGTTGGGAAAATATGTAAAAAACCTGAAGGATAAAAAATTAATGATCTGTAGCCAGTCCATGTGGTTTTACACAGAAAGACATGTGGAAAATGAGTTTTATTGTATGCTGTATAAAAGTGGTCTCGGCAGTGAATTTTGAGCAGCTGTGTGTGTAAATTCTAGTTCAAAAGCAAATGTAGCTAACAACGTAATTCTAAAAGCAATTCTAAGGAAGTTCAAATCTGATTGGTGATAGAAAAAGTGGTGGATGATTTGTCATTTCAAAAACCATGACAATTCATACCAGAACGAACTCAAACTGGGGGAGAAGAACAGTCAACTCTGGTCAATTACATCACCAGCTGTTCATTACTTTTCACCATTCTCCTCAGATTGGTTTTAGTCGGGATTTGTGTCTGGGGGGAAGGGGCAGCTCTATTTTGGCATATCAAATTTAAAGGGTTCAAAAGAACTATTTTTTAAAAATCACTTTAATGTGTGTTCCACATTCCAAAATCCAAATATTGGATTTTTTTTGTAAGTTAAACTACAGGTAACTGAACCTTAAGAAGTGAAACATTTGTTATTTTTTTGCTTGTTTTAAAGGGGAGGGAGATTGAAAATAGAAGGAGTCAAACATTATATCACATCCTTCTGCCTCTCAAGCCCCTCCCCATCAAAATTATATATTCCAGGCATTGTTATCCACACTAACAAGCAAACAGATATAGAACTCTTAATTTGGGGGAAGAACATCCCTAAAAGTGGATATTTGGGAGGATAGGACATGACATTTCATCATATTTAACGCAATCTGATCTTTCTTTTCTGGATCCAAAAAACTATCATAATCAAATTATAGTTTTTCTCACAGCTTGAAACAAGTATTTCTCCCATCTTGTGATAGCTTATGCCTTGATTTGGTATCAGGAATTTAAAGCATAGACCATTTTTTGTCTTAATCATTTTATATCAATTAAACAAAACGATTAGACAATATATCATAATCAATAGTGGAGAATATCTGAAACTCAGGGTTGAATTGGTAAGTTCTTGGTGCTCTCAGAGGTTGTTTTCTTGAAGACATTTCCTTACCATCTTAGGTGCATCCTCAGTGCAAGGGAGAGTGAGATTTGTTGGCTGTTGAGATATAGTAGCTTGCCCTGCCAATGGTGATGTGGCTTCTTCCTTTATGGTTTCTTCATTAGGACATTATTTATTTCCTGGTTATTCATCTACTGCTACTTCCTCTTTATAGGAGGGTTGGCTGCTCTGGGCTGTTTGTGTCCTTCCTTGACTTTTGATTGTATCTTTTTTCATTGGTTTGTAGATCAGGTTTCTCTCTGTCTCTTGATGGCTGATTTGTCAGCATGGCAAGGTTCCAGGAATTCCCCAACATTTTTTTTTTAAACTTTGGCTTGTTCTAAAATGTCAGTCTTTCCCAGTTGATCTCAACTTTCCAAGTTTGGGAGGGGAAAAAATTCAAGAACTTCCTACCTATCCCCACCCACTCCTGCATTATGCTTCTGTAGTCAAGGGTTAGGTCAAATTAAAGATTAGAAATGGGTTTTAGAAACAGTAGATCCAACCAAATCTCAGTCATGGAATTGCAGTGGTTGAGGCCTTTTGCTGCACTTGTTTATCTGCTCCCAGGGCAGATTAGCTATCCTTGCCAAGGGAGCTTCTGTCCTGTACCTAATCCAACCATACTTTATCAGATTTATGACTTTGAATTGCATTGCCCAGTGCTTACGTTGATAAGATATGCATCTATATTGCTTCTGTGTTTCAGTGTCACAGAATAGTACTTAGGTTCTTAGTACAGTTGGTCTCTCAGTTTGATATCAGTAAAACAAAAATGCTAGTCACATTAATACTTGGCTGGAATTATTTTACATTTTGCTGGAACTGATCTTTTTGCTTTAACAAGACATTTTCTAATCTTTAATAGAAACAAGGAGCCACTTTCTTTTTTATACATACATATATATTAATTTTATTTTTTTAATTACAAGGTAATTAGTTTTTTATATTCCATATTGCGTTTATCTGAATTCAGCGTGTGATTCCCTCTTACCATTTGCAATAAGAGATTAAAGAGCATGCAAAGTTTATAAAAAGCTTGTTTTGGAACATTATCTGTCATTCAGTTTTGATACTTTTCATTTTGTGATTTAAATAGATAGATTCTTGCCATTTTTAAATTTTTGTAAGTGGCACATATTAAATTTTGTAAAAAAATCTTAGTTGAGTTTTCATATTGAACTTTTTTTGGATAGTGGTACACTATATATAGTAAAGTGTTTTTGACATGTTGTGCTTTGTTAGATCAATAATAAAATATATTGTTATATATTTATTGTTCTAGGTTTTGTGGCTTGGTTCAATTTCCAGGTGACCTGAGAAAAAAAGTTCTGTGTCAGCTCTTCCTCTTTCTTTGCCATCCATTTCCTGTTGTAAGTACTTCAGAAATGATTGAGATTTTTGAATCGCTTATATTAAAGAATTGTTCCTCTTGAAAACTTAACTAGGCATCTATTGGGTTACTTCTTCCCTAGTTGGCTCCATACTGCATAGGTACACCACAGAGGTACACCCAGTGTGATATGCTGATAGCAAGGAATACATTAAATTCATTCCATAATATATGGCTTTTATGTCATGAACTACCCCGCCTCTCCCCCCCCCCNATCTATCTACCTACCTAGTACCTACCTACCTACCTATCAATTAAACTTTTATAATATCAAGGTAATCCTTGACTTAATGAGCACAGTTAGGTCCAGAATTTCAGTCATTAAGTGATGTGGTTGTTAAGCGAGTCATCAGGTGACTGGACCAGATTTTACCACCATTTTTATCACATAAGTAAGTTAATCGTCATGGCTGTAAAGTGAATCACATGTTCATTAAGTAAATCAAACAGTAACGTGAACTTCTGCCCTTGACTTTGCTGGTAAATCAGAATCGCATGACTATAGGATATTGCAACTATCCTAGTTGTGTTCATAAATGTGAGTTGGTTGCCAAGGGCCAAATAGCATGCATGAGGAGGGTTGCAATTGTCACAACTTCGAGAACAGGCCCTAAGTCACTTCTTTTCAGCACTGCTGTAACTCTGAACCATCGTTAAATGATTGGACATAAGTTGAGAACTACTTGTAAAATGCATTACTTACATTTTGATTAATAGGGGATATTGAGATATTAAATTGTTTATTGGGTTAAGCAGAAATTTGTTAATGCAAAAATATTATGGCTTTTTTAATATTATATGATTATAATAAGCTTTCTTCCTTCTACCTTTAGAGTTTGCTTGACAGTAGGGGTGAATGGAGAAGGATCACCAAATGAATTTGTGTGTAAAAGTAACGTTACAGAGATATACAACATATTGTTGGATGGTGTGAATGATTACACAACAGACAGCCGAGGCGATGTTGGAGCACGGTAAGATGAATGAGGTCCCAGATTTGTTCTGTAATGCAAAGCAAAAATGATAAACTCAGAGAAAATGTGAAAATGGTGGCATCTTACTAAGGCGTTTACTTACTTTTGAGGCTTTCTTCCATGAGAAATCTTCCAAATATTTATTTTTAATTGTCATTTAGTTTAATTTAATTCAAAAATTTCCTTAGTTTTATTTCATTCTGAAAGAACAAATTAGCTGTTCTGATATTCCATTATGGTGATTAAACAGCAGAGGGTGTAGTTGTACCAACAGTTGGACTCCTTCGCTTCTTACATTGCTACTGCCTCTTACAAGCCACATTTTGCACACATTATTTTAAAGAGCAACTGCTTTTCATTATCTCTATTATCTATAAACCACAAAGTTTTATTTTGACATAAATAAAAACATGAATGTCTAACCATTTGTACTCATAGCTTAACAAAAAGTGATTTTGTTTTACATGAACTTTTGAATTTTCCTATTATTAAATTGCATTGCATAACTTTGCCTGGTTGCACAAAGTCTTCTGCAACTTTTCATTGCAGCACACTAAAAATGTGAACTATTTCTGTTTTAAATTGTTACATGTATCCTTAAACCAATCAATTAAAAATATTTTCTAGCATATTTCATGCTTGCATGCTAAAGAAACGTCTGCGAAAGAATGTAGAAAGAATTGAGCGTATAATTTGTAGCTTCAGAATGTAACCAAATTCAGAGATAGCATAGCATAAACATGCAATGAGTGTTAGGAGACATGATGGTAGTGGGAAATCCATATTTAGATTTTACTTTTTGTTTACTTTTTAAAGATATGTTTAGTTTTGGGAGGCCAAATCATATGAGGGCAGTTATAGCTAACTCCTGTGAATATTTCCTTCTGTTACTATTTGATCAGAAAGAAAAAACTTACAGAAAGTTGTAGATAGAGGGATAGTATTAAGTAAGAATGTGGAGCTAGTAAGAAAGGAATATTTTCTCTGCTATCCCTTTCCAGAATATTTAACTTTTTGGGGAAGTATAACAGAGATTCCAACCATGTATTCACAAATTTGTATCCATGTTTATTCTAGAATTTATATGGCCTGAATTTATCCTGAATTAAGTCTTAATTCTAGAATAAACATGGATACAAATTTATACTTATATCCAGACAGAAATATTAAATTTGAATGTTTCAAAGTTAGCGTATCTGTTTCTATGTTAAATAAATATCTCTTACCTCTGACCAGATAGTCAAACCCTGCTAGCTCAAAGCTGCTTCTTTAAGCTCTCAAACCTTTTTCAGAGTGAGGATGCTAGGTACTCAATGGGCTGGAAAGGGAATTGAATGTGTGGGTACTCTTGGGAAAATACTTTCTGAGGTGTGTGTCTGCTCCAGTGGAAAAAAAGTCCAAAAAGAATAGGAATGTACACGAAGCTTTGATTATTATTTTTTAAAGGATTCGTGGGAAAGCTAACAAACTGTATTTTCCATATGCAAACTCAACATTCCTTTTGACAGGCTGTTTGCTGGGACTTGTCCAAATTCTGTCTACAGGTGTTAAATATAAAAACCTTAAGAGCAAGATGTGTGAAAGAGAAAAAGGGTTTCTTTGATTGAAAGTGGTCTAATTGCTCTCTGTGTGGGTGTAGGAGTGTGCACGTGTGTACATGCTTGTGCGGGGAAACTGAGACAGAAACCCAGTAGGCTAATTCTTATTAACATATTCATTATTTTGAATTTTCCATTTTAAAAAAGCATAACGTGTGTTGCCACGTCATGATACAGATAGATTTCTTGGGAATGAGTTATAAAACTGGCAATGTAACAGCAGATCAGATGAGGTGTGTTCATTACTGTGTTTCCCCGAAAATAAGACCATGTGCTTATTTCCTTTTGACCCCTGAAATAAGCACATGGCCTTATTTTTGGGGAGATCTTATTATTTTTGAGGTGCAGGAGGAGATAAGCATGGTCACCTCTAGAGAACACCTAGAGAAAAGTTCAGGTTATTTAGGGCCATGATATCTGATCCGTACTTGTAGGAAAAAACATTGTGGCAAGAAAAGCATTCATTGGTACACAATTTCAGCCAAGAAGGAGCAGCTGAAAAAAAGCTTGCTTTGTTTCCATTGCCAGAAACAAATCCGTTCCAGTGGACATAAGGATGTCATGTCCTAGATTAGATTGCAAACTTCTGGAAGACCACTGGATGGCAGCAGTGTGCTAGACCTTTCTTTACTGTTTTTTTCCCATCTACTCGTTGTCTGAATATTGCAGCCCACATATGGTAGTCTGTCCTAGTTGATAGGGCACATCTAGAATGGCTGAAGGCAGTACATCCTAGTTCCAAAAGTCAGTGATATGATTATGATTCTTGTTCCTCCAATCAGTTGTTCAAAGGAACAAGTTCCCCAAACTGATACTTCAGTGACCATTTCACAGGAAGATAGACTCATATCTGCATGTAACTGCATGTAAATGCCAGCATATGGCTTTCCAGTTCTTTCTGACTTTAATGAACTCTTCTTTTTTCTCCATTCCTTTCTATGTCTTGTCATATAGTTTGTGAGCGGATGGCAGGGCCTGTCTCTTTCTTTTAAACCGCTTTCCTATTTGTCTGAAAATCAAGATAAACTAATTAAGTAAAGACATGATCATAAATGTACTACATTTAGTCCCATTAAACATATATATTTATTTAATAGAAATAGAGTGGTTTCAAAATGGATGAGATTGATTTTGGTACACTGACCTATAACTGATTAGCACACTGTTTTATCTAGTTCCACAAAGGTCTAATCCAATGTGATTAAATCTTCCCCAAAAAATCTCTGTCTGGTAGGAGCTGTGGCCAGTACATCAGCCCAACACAGTAGTACAAAGGCTGGTGGAAGCAGGATGGTGAAGCAATGTAATCAAACACAGAGAGTTGAAATTCTTAGCCTGCCCTTTGGAAGTTGGGATGAAAGATGCTTCACCCACCTGTTGGAGGAATTATTTTAAAAAGCAAAACAGAAATAGATGATATGACTCCAAATTACTGGTGTGCTTTGGAAGCTCTAGGAAAATGAAAGCAAAACCAAAATGGAGCTGGGTGTACTTTGTGCTTTTGAAACCCTATAATTAATAAAGATGACTAACAACAGTGAAGACTGTATGCTTGAACTTTAAGGTTAGGGTAAGCATTATTTTAGGAACTGAGGATCTCAGTTCTCAATTCTACCCATCAACTTAAGTTTTCATGCCTCTGCATGAAAGAGTTTCTGTCTTTCTTCAATTATTGCTTATTTTTAGTCACCACACACATAAACTCATATATGTTCTTTGAAAGTTGCTCACTGAAATTAGAATGAATGAGGTGAGCAATAATAGAGACGTGGCGTGTAGAACATTCCCTAGAGGTTTGACTGCAAAATTCGAATGCCTGACTGACTCTGATTTGCTTTGCTTCAGTTTTCTACCTCCCCAAACAAAAACATCTTGGAGCCATTATTGAGTATGTGCATGACGTACACACCAAAGCATTTTATTCTGATCACAGAATCATGATGTATTTATAAATTTATATGAAACTTGCTAGAAATTAACATTAACATAACATTAAGTCTGTGGTTGCTTACTCAACAGGGTGAGGGAAGCTGCTATGAAGAGTTTGATGGAAATAACCCTGTTGTTAACCAGGACTGAGCCAGCCTTAATTGATGCAAACGTGTATGTACTTTCCAAACATTATATGTCAGCCTTTGGGTTACTTAACCAGCTTTGGGTTAAGTAATCAGCCTTTTCTGGAAAGGCTTCTGCAAGAGTCACCCCTACTGATTGCCATCAGTTGCTCCCATCACTATTGTTAATGAAAGTCCTAAGCAGGTCCTGTCTTGTATCTGTCTGGGATCAAGGAATGTGGATTGTAACTTCTCAAAGAGGTTGAATTGGGAAGCAATGGCTGCCCAGTCACCAATTTAATCTTGGGTCTTCCTCTCCCAAATTTCACCCACTGCAACTGCTGAGAGACCTGAGATCTAAGTATCCTAAATGGGTTGGTCTTCAACCTTGTGGCAAAAATAATGATACTTTTTTTTTTACAATCTGTTCTGACCAAGCTCCCCAAACACAACCACCCCTCTGATGTGACCTCAAAAGATTCATTTATTAGGAGTGCCAGTGAATAGTTGTCTGCTACGTTTATTTCGCCTCCTGCCTTTTATCCCTAGAGCTAGGGTGGGGCCTCACAAGTAGCAGTGGTTCTTCCTTACCCAGGATCAGCCCATGGCTTTCCAATGCTTTCCTCTCCTCTGCCTTCTGTGCAGGCACTGGATCCAGCTGTTCCTCCTCGTCTTCATAAACCACCTCCAGATCTGGGGGCTGTTGACTCAGAGGGCTGACAGACAGTCCAGGCTCCGCCTCTGTCTCTCTCTCTCTCTCTCTCTC